GATAGACTTTATCGATCCTTTTTTTCCTTGTCGAAGAACCGACATGTGATTCTGGTAAGTCGAAGCGTGTGAACGAAAAAGAATATACTGTGAATAGAAAACACGTCGACGTACGAGTAAAAGATACAGAAAAAGAGAGCGACCAAAGTCTTGCTCGACCGTTTATATTCTTTGTGTCTCTGACCTCTGTCTCTCCTTTTCTCTATCCCTTATCCTCTCGTCCTCCTCCTCCTCCTGCTCATCATCATCATCATCATCATCCTCTTTCTTCTGTATATCTGCTTTTGGTGTATCGAGGGAGCTGAGAGACGTCGACCACTTAACGATATTCGAATGTCGTCATCGTCGAGGAGGAGATGGGAAGAAGACTGTGAATTTATCGAAGGTTAAATTCGGCGGACCGTATCACAATCCTGGTCTAACTAAAAGAAAAAAAGAGATAGAAGAAAGAAAAAGAAGAAGAAGAAGAAAAAGAAGAAGAAGATAAAGAAAAAAAAAATATATATATGTGGCAGGAGGATCGCGTATAATCTCGAGCTCCCACCAAAGAAATAGCCTTGGAAGAAATACCGTTTATGTTAGTCTCACGATTTACGACCAATAAACTATATCTATCCTTCTTCTTTCTATATCTATCTTCTCTCTCTCTCTCCCTCTCTTTCTCTGTCTCTCTCTCTCTTTCTCTCTTTCTCTGTCTCTCTCTCTCTCTCTCTCTCTCTCTCTCTCTCTCTCTCTCTCTCTCTCTCTTTCTATATATATATATATATATATATATATATATATATGTATATATATATATGCATGTACATATATATATATATAAATATATATATATATATATATTTTCTCTCTCCTTCTTGCTCTATCTACCTATTTATCTATCAACTTTTCTCATGAAGCATCCTAAAGGCGGAAGGTATCTTCCCAGCGCCAAATTTAGAATTCTACGAATTTCTTCTAACATTTCCCGAAGAAAACGCATCGGTGGTCGTCGCGTTCGCGGAAGCAATCTTAGAAATGGCGTTTCTGAAGAAAACAGCAAGAGAAGAAGAAGAAGAAAATGAGAAGAAGCTTCCCGAGTTCTCGCCGCAAAGGCGAGCATCAAGCGTTACCTGCGGTAAATCGTAGTTCGTCGGCTTGAAATCCTCTTGTTTCTAACACGAGAATATCGACTCTTCTAGTCAAACGTGCATCGATGCAACTGCTCGGTGCAACGATGTCGACGAGCTGAGGTAGAACAAATGCGGACCGCAGTGTCGATCGACAGTAAAGAAGAAGAAGAAGAAGAGGAAGAAGAAAAAGAGAAGAGGAGGAAAATAAAGTAGGACTCGTATAAGGATAGAATTCGCGGATAAAAAACCGGTTTCGTGCTTTCGGGTGCCATTCGAGGCGTTTAGTCCATTGCCGGAGCATCTAAAACAGATGTAGCGACGTAGGTGAAGCGGTATGAGGGTGAACGACGAGAGAAAAAAGAAGAAATAAAAGAAAGAAAAAAGACAAGATAGAGTGAAAGGGAGGAAGGAGAGGAAGAGAAGAAGAGGACCGAAGTCTCGATCAAGTGAAACGTGTTTTGGAATTTTGCACCGGAACCGTGGCGTCACGTTCAATTTGTTGCGGGCGCTAGACCGCAAGAACGGACGATCGACGAAACGATCGATAAACTCAGTGATCGATCCTTACGATCTCCTGCGCGAAAATAACGAAAACGAAGGAAGAAGTAGAAGAAGAAGAACAAGAAGAAGAAGAATAAAAAAAGGAAAAGTTCAAGTCACTAAGAGCTGCTTCTCTCGAAGCATAATATTTCTCATTATTCGATAGATCACCAAAGATAGAGCTCTCAGAACTGTCCAAAGGCAAGTCGATCGGATGACTCACGCAAAAGGTTTCTTGTGGGGTCATAAACGGTCGATCAGATTGAGACTCCTCTCGTACCATATACGGATCTTTTGACATATAACAGTGTCTCGGAGATAGTCCTTCTTAAGTATTTTGTCTATGGAATAGCATTACGGCTGTTAAGTGAATGTCGTTACGAAGAAAAATGACCCTTACCAAACGATCAGCTTGATCATCCTGGATCGAATTATCGCTTTAACGAAGTAAACACGGCGAATAAATGTACGTACGTATGATCAATGAATGATCGATCGATCGATCAATGGAACGATCGATCTATCTATCATCTATCTATCTATCTATCTATCTATCTATCTATCTATCTAACTATCGATCGTCATATACTCGTTCCACTCACATTTACTTTTGCGAGGTATAGCTCAAGTTCCTTGTATGGATCCATCTCGATGGTGGTTCTCCTCTCATCCTGCTTAACCGTGTCAACATCGATACCAGCTTCAACGATTTTCAAACAATTCTTCCTCGCTACCAGTAAGCCAGGTGCGATGTTCCCTTTCGAGGCATCGACCTGCTGCCCACCACTGTCTTCCATGGTCTCCATGCTCCGCCGTCACCTTGACCTTACGCGCATTTTCTCGTGCACCTGCAACCGGAACAAGATGTCTTAGGATTCCAAGTAGTACCAACTTGACTACCTATACACCAACGATCAAATACATTAATTATTTTACCAGAGTTACTTTCTCCTTCCATTTTCAATTATTGTATTACTCGAAAATATTAATTTTAATTTGATCAGATAAAAAAAAGGAGGATCAGTAAGAAATGAAATGAAGAAAAATTAATAAATTTCCAAGAGAATGGATATATTTTTCTTTTTTTTATAATGCATTATTAGTCCTCGTGATTCGTATTTCGTAGTCAGAGTATAATGCCTGCTTGTCAAACCTTTGAAAAGGGTAAAACGACCACCTACTCCGTTAGCCATTACATTTCCTCTAAATTTAACTGGTCGTACGGTTTAGTCACTAGGGAGGCTAATTATATTTCGCAGATTAGATTTCCTAAAGAAAATGAAAGGAGGAAATAATCCGAGAACGTTTCTTCGATCGTATATTCAAACGAACGACCCACGTTTCTTCATAGCTGTTAAAGGACTATCTTGGATTTTATCGATGTAAAATTAATCGTCTCCCCATAAAAGTAAAGACAATACTTCTAACGAAAGAGTATAGTAGATCGTATTGAATAGCTTTCGATGCTTGGAATATTTTATGAACTATAAGATATAATAAAAGGAAATATAATAACAATAATAATAATAATAATAATAATAATAATAATAATAATAATAATAATAATAATAATAATAATAATAATAATAATAATAATAATAATAATAATAATAATAATAATAATAATAATAATAATAATAATAATAATAATAATAATAATAATAATAATAATAATAATAATAATAATAATAATAATAATAATAATAATAATAATAATAATAATAATAATAATAATAATAATAATAATAATAATAATAATAATAATAATAATAATAATAATAATAATAATAATAATAATAATAATAATAATAATAATAATAATAATAATAATAATAATAATAATAATAATAATAATAATAATAATAATAATAATAATAATAATAACAATAATAACAATAATAATAATAAAAGAAAAGAAAAAAAAATAGGCGACGCCTATTTGCAACATGATCACATAGAACTCCAATGCCTTTTGAGAAAAACTAGTTTCTCTCGTTCGGTCGCTAGGCGATAATAATAAAATCGCTTGTAAAGGGTATATCAAATATTGCACTTATCGGCGCTAGTCCATATCATTGCTGGGACTTTCTTGTTCGTAATATTTTGACAAACACTTCGATAAAGTCTTGACGACTAGCCGGTCGAGTTTCAAGATCGCATATCTACATAAGTAGATATTCGAAAGATACCATACAATCTTCGTTCCTTGCATTCGCGACAAACTCCCATGAAACAATATCAAAAGATACGAAACATAACTTAATATTTACAAAATCGAATAAATGAATTACGAACATTTCCGTTCCACTTTTTCTTTCGGTTTAAGAAAAAGAAAATAAAAATACAAAAGAAAAAAATAAACAAAAAACAAAAAAAAAAGAAAGAAAGGAAATGAAATCGAACGAAAAAAAAAAAAGAAAAAAGAAAAGATCGAGTCAAACTTTCGCCAAAACGAATCGACGAATTCGCACGTACGATCGACGATCTCGAAACTTTCCCATTCGTTGATGGTCTTTAACCATAAACGGAGTGGTTGCCTTCCGTATGACGTATTGTGTGCAGTTCGTTCACGCGGCAAAGTTCAGAGGAGGCACCGCCGCGAGGATACGCCGAGTTACGTAAGGTTAATTGCGGTCGTTCAAGTTGCCAGCTCGGTTGCTCGGTGGTTGTGTTGTGTAGGGTACGCGCGCGCGAGAGCGCATCGGTGCGTGCGCACGTGCGCACGTTCCATCGTTCGAACGACGATCGTTATCGTCATCGTTGAACTTTGGTTGGAATTCGCTCGATAATTTTTACAATATTCTTATAGAAAGAAACAAAAAAAGAAAAAAACCACCTCCCTTTTTCTTTTCTTTTTTCGTGCATTGTCATCGACAGAAAAAAAAGAAAAATGAATATTTCTCATTAGGTCGAAAAAAATTTCATAGTATAGTTCGGTCATTATATAGTCGAACAATGATATGCAAAATGAAGCGATAACTACATTCAACGAGGACAAACATTAAAAATTAGACTATGAAGTTGACTAATGTCGAATGAGTTAATTACCTACTTAAGCTTATCGCGGATGAAAACACTGTACTTCTTTTTTGAGGTAACCTTATGTATTGTAAAAGACAAACTTTTTCGTAAAATTATTTAAAGGAGAAAATTTTTGAAAAAAAGAAATCAATTTACACAATGAACGTTTCTGTGAACCAAATATTATATGGTATTGTATCGTCTTGTCGGACTTATATGTCCGCTAAGTTGCCATTCAAAAAGGAACTACTCTCGAATTCAACAGGTTAATATTTAAACGTGTGTTAGCATACAACATGGATGTATATATACGGTCACAGAGAATAACAAAAACGGAAGCGACGTTACAACGTTCAAATAAAGAGAGAAAGAGAGAGAGAAAGGTTAAATGAAGACATCGAAGTTACATTCAAAGCAGGAAGAAGTTAAATAACACGCGTCATCGAACAATCATGCTTATCGGCCACCTTAAGGCTCGTTTGCAAAACAAATTATTCGAAGGCGAGTAAGAGAACTGCTTACTCAATACGGTGGACAACGCACCGTACGTACAACGCCCTTTCTAAGCCTACGCTATCGATGATAGAGTTTACCTTGGTTAAAAAAAATCTTACGATATATCCTGGCGAACGTGTTAAATGATCGATGAATGAGTGAGAGCACGCAAGCAATCCGCCTTCTCTCTACAAGATAGAACTTCTCCCTTCTTTCCTTCCAATATCCTAACGCGACGCCTTGTAAGCTACGATCAAAGAGAAAGAGACGGACGATCGGTCGGTCGGTCGGACGAACGGACAGACAAACAGATAGACGAACAGAGACAGAGACAAAAAGAGAGAGACTCGTGCTTGTATAAAGAAAATATTATTTGCACGCGAGCCTATTATGATAAAAGATCGCGGAACGCTCTCGGCTGGATTCGTCGAGTTTCTCGATGCAAACGAGATTTGAAGTATGGTATGAATGTAGCTATATATATATATATATATATATATGTGTGTGTGTGTGTGTGTGTGTACATAGGTACGTATATACATATGTACGTATGCACGTATGCACGTATGCACGTATGCACGTATGCACGTATGTATGTATGTATATATGTATGATGTAAGTACGTAGGTATGTACATATGTATGTAACTGAAGTGATAGTCGACGAGTTCAAATGGAACGTTCAAATGGAAACGTACAAATGCAATTTGGTCACTTATGCGAACGACACACATACCATTGATGAACCGTATCGTACTGTAGGATTTTACATACGTACAATTCCTATATTACTTGACGTCGAAAATAACGTTGATCTCTCTCTCTCTCTCTCTTTCTCTCTTCCTCTCTCCTAATCCCACGGTCATCATTATTTGATTAAAATGTCCGTTCATTAATCCGACGAGAGTACGTCTAATGTCATGCTAATTCGTCGCGTGACGACACGGTGCATGAGTCACCCTAACGAAGTCACTCGATGTTTCGCTCGACTTCACGACTTAATAAAAGCAAAAAAAAAAAGAAAAGAAAAAAGATTACAAACGCGTATCGTTTTTCCACCCTCGTAAAAAAATAAAACAAAAAATAATAAAAAATAAATATCATATTCGAACATAAGAAAAACAGCAAAAAAAGAGAAGATAATATGAACAGGCAGAATTACGTTAAAGTAGAACGCATTAAAATATAACCAATATACATGCTGTGAAAACTTTCGAATAACCTTCGTGATATTAAATGTATTTAAAAACGGACCATTTTTCTTTCCTCTTCTGTTTTTTCATTTTCACAATAATATATTTGTTAATTCGTGAGAATGTTTACAATGAGACAATACACTATAAGACTAATATATATATACTGTAAGAATAATTCAAACTTCTGCATGAGAGTGTACTCATCTTATTATCAATAAACTTCAATTCTCCGGATCGTAGGTGCAAATGAGAGAGGTAAAGGAGATACCAAAAATTTGTCTCGTCGCGTTTACGAAGTCTATTTGCCGTAATTCTCTCTCTCTCTCTCTCTTTCTCTCTCTCTCTCTCTCTCTCGATTACCAACACTCTTATATTTCGGTCTTTAAAACGAATCCGGTCTTCTCGGTCCGTACTGCAAAAGTCATAATGGAATACCACGTGTCTCGAGGCAGAGGCGTCAATTTGTGGTGTCAGCGCGGCTTTTATGGCTTTAACACTCGTTAAACGTTCGTGTACATTAAGACGAATAACACGGTTTACGGCAAGGCAAACGCGAACACCCTTTTTCCATCGTTTCGCGTTCCTATGGAGTCTCACTTAACTTATATATATGTATCTTACACGATATTTAAACGAATTTACGCGGGCGAAAATATGTGAGCTCGCGATTTATTGTCCTTTTTCTTTTTTGTTTTTCTTTCTTCTTCCTTTTTTTCTCTTTTTTTTCATTTATTCACGAGGCGATGAAGATGGAAAACACAACATCCACGAAATCTAAAAGGGCAATTCGTAGAAACGTGTTAACAAGAAAATCAAAGAATTATTTTAACACGTTTGCTAGTAAGATTTAACGATTAATCACTGGCCAGTGTACGTCTAATCATTTTTCCAAAGCTTGCGTCACATTCATGTTAGAAAAACCATATCGATAAGCCCGTTATCGCAAGTGATAAATTGTTTAAACGAGAAAATGATAGATGAGACCTTTCGTGAAAAAGATCCTCGAAAGCGATCGTTCGAGATCGACCAAGAAAAAGAAGAAAACGAAGAAGAAGAAGAAGAAGAATAGATCACCTGCGATGGATCCCTCGCTATTGCAAAACTGGTTTTCGATCGTTCAAGCTAATTGGAATTAAA